ATATTTATTGTCAGAGCTGCACAGAAGTGAGGCATTCAGGGCACAGGCAGTGGTTTCAGGTTAAGTTCTTAAAGATACTAAACCACATCATTTAGCTATCAACATACCTTTAAAGATAAGAGCTTAAGTAGCTACTCTAACACTTTAAAGAAAATCATGACAGAGCAGGGCCTTGAACACAAGTGACCTTTAGTGTCCTACCCTGCTGCCTCAGAAGTGATCCACTCCTTAGTCATTTTAATGCCAGTTTTTAACTAGTGAAGCACCTAATAATGTCCTTAACAAATTGAAGTTTATCTACTTGTGTGAATGTTTTACCCATGAGAAGATCTCTTTTTTTTTTCCATTAGGCATGACAAGCTGAGACAAAAATACCCACGAGTGATCTTTTCTTATGGCCAGGCTCATGTATCGTCCACCTCAAGTTCCACCGCACTCGTCACATGCCAGGGAGCCGCGTGCGGTTACATGACAGGCACATGGACAACTCGGCTGTGTAGCATAAACAGGGCATAAATTGCAGTGCAGGTATGCTCGTGGGAGCTTTCCCACTTGTAAAATCACCTTGAATATCATAATAAGTATTGAACAGACTTTTTGGACCATTTTGATTAAAAAAATAAAAAATAAAATAAAATAAAATAAAATAAAATAAAATAAAATAAAATAAAATAAAATAAAATCTGTAGCTGTAATAAAATACCACCCTCAACAGATGAGGCAAACAGCTGGAAGGCAGGAGACTGTTGGGTGAGAGTTACTCGTCCCCCTGACCTCTGCAAGAATTAAGTGTGTCTCAGAGAGATATCCTCCCTTAAGTCAATTACTTGGAGACGAGGGCAATCTAGTACAAGCTGCACAACGAAATCCAGCAGTATATATCACCACATTTTCCATGTCAGTTGAAGAGAAAATATGTTTTTGATCATTCATAAAGATGAGATACAACTGCATCAAGTAGCATACTTAATTGTTATCATTAAGCACTCTTCAAAAATAGTATTAGCTGCCAGGCTTTTATGCTATTGTCCTTTGGATTACCAGTAAACAGCAATATGCATATAGGTCAATGAGCAGAGCCAGCAAGTTATGACCCCTGAAATTAATTAAATGTCAAAAAAAGAAAACAAATACACGACCCAGACTGAGAGCTAAGAACATGCTTCTATGCCTGAAATATCTCAGCAAGTAGAGAAAGAAAATAGAAAATTCTGCTCTTGGGCAAGACCACAGCTTTTGTCCATTTACTGCCTCGGGAGGGCAGGGGGAAGGATTTGTGTGGGAGAGGGAAGGTGAAGGCTGGGAACACCCCACAGGGAAGCAGATTTCACAAAAACTACCTCCTGCTCCAGAGCAGGACAAATCTCCTCCAGTTCCTGGAGCAGCAGCCACTCATTTGCAAGGGGGCCACCCGCAGCCCTCGCTGCTCACCGCGCTGCTGCTCCCCGGCACACACGCGGGGCCCCGCACGGCTCAGAGCGCTCACCACAAAGACCTTCTTCTGTCAAAGCATCGCACATGGCTTCTCATCTCAGGTAGCTGAAAACAATTTTGGTCCCTTTGTGTCTTGCACTCAAAGCCATGTGCCGTGTTGGACCCCTCTGCAGGGGTCCCGCACAGGGAAGATGTTATGGAGTTGCAGCAAGGCACGTTATTCCCCTCCATCCACCCTTTCCAGACCACGCTCTGGGCATGGAGCTCCTGCCTGATCCCCTATAGCAAACTAGGGCAAATCTCTGCAGAGCAAAGAGACTTTGTGTTTCAGAGGGTCAAAAGACCACAAGAAAGAGCATCCTGTGTTCAGCAAAAGGTTTGGAGCCTGCCCAGCAGGAGATACCCTTCCCTTAAATACTTCCCATAGGATGTGTCCCAGTAGGTCCAGCTCCAGGCGTTCTGCCTGCGCTGTGCAGGGACACAAAACAGCTTTGCAGCGGCTCCAGGACATGCTGCACCAGAAAACTGGAAGGAAGGAGGAAACAGAAAGGCAAGGACACAACTAAAGTTTGTATTTTTCCTCATTAAATTTCATTCCAATGTTTGGGGGAGAGAAGAGCAAAAGAAAAAGGATGAGAAAAGAGGGGCTCCAAGTCCCAATGTCGTTGCAATTTTACAACTATTTCAAATTTCTTGGGGTGGGAGAAGCAACTATTTGCTCTTGCTTCTGGAAATCAGCTTGATTACAGATTCTGGAAATCAGCTTGCTTCTGGAAATCAGCTTGATCAGCTTTCTACTGGAAAAGGCTAAACAGCAACATACAAATCAAGGAAGAGACACATACAAGGGTTTCTATTCTTGCAGGTTTTTTCAGTCTCACGGTTTTGTGACAACCTTCATCATTTGGAAATGTCTAGAGATGGCAACACTAGAAACCATGCTGCTTTCATGTTCAAGCTTCATTAATTCTGCTTAAAATATAATTTAGCTTCAAAGAAAAAGGCACTTTCTGCCTCTTTCACTGAGAATAAAGTTACTTTTTTCTTTGGGGGGTTTACCCCATCTGTTCAGCTGAACATTTCTAAGTGAAGTTACCATGTCCCTACTAAAATCCTATGACGGTCTATGAAAATATGAAAGCAGTTGTGTTGTACATACATACAACTGCATATATTCTACAAATATGTTAATTACATTACAACATTAACAACCTGGCATTGATTTAATAGAGTTTGTATAAAAATTACAGCCGAGAATTAACCTCTTTTGTTATTAAAGGATCTTCTTCCCCTCTTTTCTTACCATTCCTCCCAAAACTATTAACAATCTGCTTCACAGAAGTTTATAACTTAAATCACAGCCAAATCTTATTAAACCAAGAGTTTACTTTTACACGCAGTGGAAAAACAGCTGGTTTGGTTACATTTTTTTTTTGGCATATAATCCCATAATGGACAAAAACGACTAGCACGTGCAATAGATCTTGTCCTGTGTAACCAGATTAGACAACTGCCGTAACGTCCCTGGATGCCTTTCAGGAATAACAAAAGATTGGATCACAAATAAATTAAAAGCAGAACAAAATCCAAGCAATCCCAACTAGATCTCACTCCTGTTTTCTTCTTCAGTACCAAATATTTACACTTATCTCCTATTAAAAATGGTGTATTATCCAAGGCTGGACATATACTTTAAGGTTATGATTTAACCGTCTGAAAAGCAGATCATAATAAGTTTTCTATGCCTAGTTAGTCACCCCAAAAATGAACTGATTTCCTCAAAGTGATAAGCAGCTATTCTTTGATCTGACTTTTCTCCATAATTTCTCCAGGTCAGCTTCAAGACTTGAAGCAATACAAGTGTCTGGCTGCTGTGCAAATCACACCTCAGGAGTCCTATTACTGAAAAAAAAACACCAAAAAATGTAACCCTTTCCTGGAGTGACCTAGTTCTTCTCATTGGACCTTTGCTACCACAGATCTCCTGGTAGATTTACTAATGGTTTCTATATGTCACGTCAGGGAATGTGCCTTCAGTGCTACATCACAGCTCTGCTGCCGCTTGTCCGTCCGCTTCGCCCCAGAGCAGATACTACAGCGCTGCAATTCAATACTTGGAGCACATCTGCCTCTTCCATTACACTCAGTCCTTATAAAAATGGCTTGTGCTGCTTGCAGGAGACCTCTCTGGGTGCTTTGCAAACAGTTACGACACACATAGTTTGGAGACACGCTTGCACTGTATTCATTTTCAGCGTAAGGCAGAAGCCCAAACTATTACAGCACAGAAATATTATGTAGTTATTTGATATCATGTAGTTATTTGAATGTTAGCACCCCTAAGGGCAGACCATGTTTTCCAAACCCATTTTATGGCAATAGCCCCCTCAGCCTTTGTACTAAAGCCAAAATCAACCCCCAGGCCGAGTCTGACACTGGGGCAGTGCCCTGGACAAGCCGGGCTCGGTGCAATGTTCCCACTAACTCATGCCTGTTGGGAGATTTTTTTTGCTCTCCTGAAAGCCTAATACTGAAGCAAAATGGAAGAAAACTCGCTATTAGTTTGGCCTCAGATCACTGTTAGCACTTGCTCATAAAAGAACACGGCTTCAATGACAATATTAGTGCAAGTCAGGATTGCAAAAGTGTCTTGGCAGAATATTTTTTGCACTCTCTCGTTTAAACATTTTTTTTTCTCAAATAAGCAACAGAGGAACTTCATCATAAGCGATCGAGAAGGAAAAAGCTCTCTAGGACTATGGCTTAGCCCATCCATCCTAAAATAACCAGGCACCAAGCACATCAGGGATGAGCTTTCCAGAGCTGTTAGCTCTGCTGCCTGCACTAGGCTGCTTGATGAAGCCTCCCTACATTTTTTCATGAACATGTTTAGAGGAAAATCAGTCATCCAGGAAAAAATTTATTGAAGAAAACTCAACATATGATTAAGGAAACTCTAGAAAGGCTGAAAGGCCAACTCTGATGCATTGATTAACACTTAACTGCCATTAAAATGGAACAACTGAAAATCAATGCTCAGTTCATAAGGTATCACTCTTTGCAAGTAAGGTGAAAGACTTTGACTGTTAACAACTTTGATTAAAAGTCACAAAGATTTTCTACTTGTTTAGGGCACAAGGTGTCTTTCTACATGTGCAGGATATAAAAAATAACGTAACCTAAGTACTGCAGCTAGTAGCTTCAATAAGACAGCATAGTCCATCTGAAAAAGCAGTCAGCATACCGGGGAAAAATGTTTCCTTGAAAAGAGTTTACATAACATGTATTCTGGGGAAGAAGACTTAAGTAACAGTGAGTACATCTGCACCAAGAAAGGCAACAGCTCTGAAAAAACTGAAGGAGGCACCAAGAGATCTGTTGTCTTTCATTTTGCTGCTGAAAAGTCACTTATGAAAAAAAGAAACATCCAGATATGAACCAACTACAATGACTGTTAGTGCTAGTTTTAACTGTTTTTTTTTCAGAATTTCATTCAAACTTGCCCTCAGCCATCTATTTTTGCCATAAATCATATGAAAAAAGCACATGAAATGGCAATAGCTTACCTTGCAATGATAGATGGAGATCATCTATCTCAGAGGAAGCCTGCTCCTCTGTTGAGGGAGATGACAGATTTGACGCCATAATAAATCTTACGGAGAGTCTTCAATCAATTTCCAAGCTGAAACAAAAGCAGAAGAACATCAGTACAATTTGGGTTTCAAAATGATGCAATGAAAGATGTTAAAGAGCACACGGAGGCAGGTTTGGGGTCTTTCCCTCCTGTTAGGATGTTTCCTTAGCTCATCCTGAACCAAGTGACAATGACTAGTGCATGGACCACAGCTTTGTCCATGGCGTGACAAAGTGCTAGGATCAGGAAATTTCAGACACAGTTGCTTTCTTATAGAAAGTGGGGAAAAAGCTCACGGTGCCTTCTGCAAATTTGTTACTGTCACATCTCCAAGACTTTCTTCACCTCTTTGTACTTTAGAGATTTCTCTTCCTGCCCGGATAATTGTTCCTGAATGGAAACAATTAAAGCCAAATCTGCAAAGATTAATGAGAAACAAAAATGTAGCAGTTAACGTAAAAGAATAATCTCAGCTTCTGTTTCTGCCTGGTACCTCAGTTACTCCTCATCCCCCATGCAGGGGTTTCATTTCCCAGCTCCTCCACTTTCCTTTCCCTGGATACCTCCCCCATTGCTAATGCAATTTGAGGGAATGATACGCTGAGTCTTTCTTAAAAGTATATCAATGTTTCTGTTACTGCAGTGGCAATATTGTTTAATCTGTCATTGTAAGGGAAAAAAAAAAGAGCTTCAGAGACCGAAACTCATTTTTATCAAGAACATAAAAATTAAGCAAGTTCAAAAGTAATTGAAGCTGAAAATTAAATAAGGGCTCCCCTTAACCAAGCTCTGTGACCTAAATAACTGTAACCTTGTCATCAAAAGTACTAGGATTCAGACACTGGATATTAATAATTCATCCACCCCAGTATATGTTAAAATAAATGTGGTGAATAAATGAGTAACGGAACCCGACACTGAAGATGCCAATGACATTTTCATTCAGTCCCTATGTGCAGATGAATCACGATGCCACCTTTATTTTCTCCATTATACCCTATTTTTCCTCACTCAGCACACAGAACGGACAGCACTTGTTTAATGAGGACCCACTCAATGCTTTGTTTTCGGCCCCCTGAACAATGTGTGTCCTTGTGCTTCATTCAGGAGCTGCTCTGATGACAGGATTATTAAGTTCATCCCAAGATTTCTATGGCTCTCATCCCCACAGCATCTGAGTGCTTCACAAACATCAATCAAGTTACAATTTACTTTCACAGCATCTACAGATGAGGGGTTATTGCCCACATTTTACAGATGGAGAGCAAGGATACATAGATGACAAAGTAAAAAGAAAAATAAAACATTAACATGGCACAGTCCAGGTATTTGGGAAGAAACAGATATGACTCTGTAAGTCATCAAGGTCAGTGGCTCCAGTGAGTACTCAGTGTAACTGCAAGTAACCCAAGGACGTAGGAGGGCAAAATGATGCATGAGGTTAGGCTGAAGATCAGAAGATTTCTAAATATTTGGCTCTACCACTTTCCTGAAACCCTCCTTTTGTGATCCCATGCTGCAAGGCTGTTTCCCGGCTGCCACCTATCCCTGTCCTGCCCCAACAGAGAGCTCCACGTGCGTGGAAAGGGAGAGCTCACATTTTCAGAGGACGTTCCTGCAAGGATTAGTATTCTTTAAAAGGTACAAGATTATCTGCACAAGGATTACAGTGACAATAAGATAGTTCCTTTGACCCTCCAGATCTGCATTTGAATACAGCATATTACATGTAACTATTTTACAGCCACCTCTAAAGAGTCTGCGGCTGTCAGAATACTGATAAAACTCTTAGTAATGCTTTCTGTAGGCTCTAAGATCTATCGTCTTTTCTGCTTGGTTTTTAAGTTGATTCTTTTGTGGTATAAGCTAAGCCAAAGCCGGCAGCTCCAGGAAATGCTGGACAACCACGAAATACAACCTATAGTGCTGAAAAGAAATAAAACGCTTTCAGACGACACGATGCCACTGCTAAAACCTAAGATACAGAAAATGCTTTTGTCTCGCCATCTTTTTGGAGAGTTTGGCCTCAGCACAGCAAAGCACTTACATGCATACTTGGGAATAAGCTTTTTTGTACAGAAAAACAGACAGCACCAGGAACGCTGGGACCTTGTTCCAAACAATTTGTTTCTTGGAATTCAATTCGTTCTGATCAACTTTTAAGTGATTTGCACCACGGCTGCTGCATGAGCTCATCCTTTCTTAGACATGGGAGGCACCAAGCAAGAGAGGAGCACCTTGAAGATCCTACCCAAGGGAAGCACTTTCCTTCAGTGCTTTCCAAAAGGACAAATTTGTGACTACCTGGCTTCCCTAAAACACAGCTGAAATGATTCAGTTCTCAAGAGAAGCTGGTCCTATCTTACAAAGCTCAAAGCTTTTCACTACTGGGCTACTAGTTGACCATTTCTCCCCTTTCAAGAGACAGGGGCACACATTGACAGAGATAGAAAACCCTATGAGCAGGGTACAGAGCAGAAATCTCAAGAAACCTGCCCAAAAATAAATAATCAAGGTTCAAATTCACAAGATTTTATCACAATTTTATCATCAGTGAGACCTAAGAGATGCGCTTCTTAATCAGGATGTTTCTAAATACAGTCTTGCCTCAGAAGAAAGAAAAGGAAAAGCTGCAGGTGGATTTGCAGGATTCATTATCAAGGACTTCATAGCCTTAATCTAACAGCTGGGTAGTGCAGCTCACGGATTTGTCTTTCAGTTGCTTCAAGCACGGAACAAGATCCCACCATGCAAAACATCAGCAGTTCCCCAGTTACTCCCCACTATAGCGGCTCTGCTGTTTTCAAACCACTGCACATAATTACCACTGCAGTCTAACACGTGGCTTTCTTAAACATTTAAGGGTAGCTCAGCAAAGGAGGCGTGCACACTAATTAGGAAGCAAGGTAAACGAGCTGGCACGACTTGCGGTCTGTCGCAGGTGACGCCGTTCCCAGGTAGCTTGCAGGCATCTCCTGCATCCCAGACATGGCAGCGCAGAGGTGCCCACAGGATCCTCTGTACGAGCCCATCTTGGAAAGCTGGATGGCACAGAAAGAGCCCGCAAATGTGCTCCTTTTGGCCAAAAGCAGCAGGGACCTGCAGCCAAGGCTGGCTGCAGGCAGGTGAGCGCTGCAGGGCACCCTCAGGAAGTCCCTGCTTTGATTTTGCCTTTGGAGGCGCATGCTGCGATGCATCCGCTTTCCCTGTTTGGGTGGGAACATGTTTTGCATCGGTGGTGTTGCCTCCATAGAGGCCTTGGCGTGTAAACTGAAGGCTGGTCCTAGCAAGAGATTATTATTACTTATGTGTTCAGTCTGCACCGACATCACGAGCAGAGGCAGCAGATTTTTATCTTTGGTGAAGGAGGCAAAAGGAAACAGGACTTCGTAATGAAGAATCACCAAAGACCCTTTGCCATTTTGATTATCAGCAAAGATTGCAGTTTATTTTGCGTTCAGAGAGAAGCACTTTTTTTGGTAAACTGTTTTTCTCTAAGTTGAGCAGGGTGCCCTTAAAGTCTGAGCAGTTCACGCATCCCTGATGAACACGCTTCCTCCTCGCTATTTCCTTTGCAGTGATTTCAGCGCTTTTACATAGCTACACACAGCTGAATGAAGATTTGTAGGGGGGAGGATCTGTTTAAAGCATCCATTCTGCAAAATCTTTGTGCTCAAACATTCACTCCCTCTGCCTGAGGTCCTACTCTGAGCTGAAGTTCGTTGCTTCCAGATTTGAAGTGCTCACAACATGGTTTTTCAGGCAGCCTCAGACTGTAAAAATGTCTACAGCTGGAAGGAGCCCCCATGCAAACATGGGAGCTTTTCCCTCTGAAGCATTGAGCCTCAGGTAGCAAAAATCAGAGCAGCACCAATGACAGATCTAGCCTCATTTCCCCCACCTCTGGACCTCACTTGCTCTCTCTGTGACAGAATAAATATCTGTCATCATTCAGTAAGCACGCGTAGCACTTCTGGAAGAAGTAAAGGTCTTCCAGTACTTCCAGCACTTTGAAGGTGATAGGGAAGACAGGCTACAGCCTTCTGATCCTACCTAATACCCCCCAGCAATCATCCAGGCCTTTAAGAGGCGGTTTTAGAGCACACAGCATTAGGGAGGGTCTGGACTGTCTGGGCCAAATGAGGCCGGCATCCAGTGTTGGAGAGGAAGGAATGGAAAGGGAAAAGCTTCGAAATGGCTATTCTGGACTCGAAGGAGCCCGGGGAGGTGTCAGACTACCAAGAACTAGAGATGGCCAGAGAGACTGCCTTGATTCATGTGAAATGAGGCACCAGAAAGGACCCCTCAAAGAAGAGCTGCAAGACCAAGGCCTCTCCTGCTAGTTTATTTATGACAACCAACAACAGCACATTTTTTCTTATCCAGGGACTTCCCAGGGATCTATTTATAATTTTGAAAACATTCCAGGACAAGCGTATGAGTATACAAAAGCTACACCACTTTTTAAGGCCAGAAAACATCACGTCTTGCCTTTGATTTACTCATCAGCAATACTTCCCATCACAGAAAGACAACAGAGCTTTGCACTGAAACTATCAATTTTAAAAAGTGGCTAGAAAAGTGTCTTTCTTGACCTTTTCTTTATTGTGGCAGTAATTTATATCACTCCTGCTGGTACAACTGCACAGTTTGAAAACTGCATCAACTCCATGCTGTTGTTAACAGGCACAGCTGTTTTATTCACGGCACTAGGCTTTGCTCTGGTGTTCATAAAACCGGCCCGCGAGGTGTATGTCACATATGACAGATGTATATGGACTGCCTTTGGTGCTCGGAATAAGAGCCTGTCTCACATGTATGAGTGCTCAACCAAAAAGGCAGTGTATAAATCAAGTACATTGAAACACACTTGGTAACGTGGGGGAAAACACACATTTCCAACTGGTCTCCAAGCCTGCCCACAACGTTAAAACAAGCAAAAACTGCTCAGGAGAGCTCCAAGCAAATCACAGCTGCTGCTATAAGATGGGCGAGGGCTGGGGAGGCCGAGGTAGCCCCACGCAGCCCTCACTGGCCACGCTGCTCCCCGGCT